AGTTCTGACACCAACCGTCCCTCCCACAACAATCTGCTTCTCTGCTGGGTTCGATAATTCATTGTAATGGTCACACAGAACTCAGAGACCATACTCACGATTATGGGGTTTGTTATGGAAGTAACAGGTTGCAATTCAGGCTCAGGAACATTCAAGGATATAGTTCTTCCGTCAGGACAGCCTCTTCCCAGCTGTGCTCATAGGCGTGCCTCTTCCTGGCCCTCAGTCTCTGCCCAAAGGCACTCAGCTTTCTCGACTTCGTGGGCCAGGAAGCTCACTGCGCAGTCTCCTGCTTTCGGGTCTCTGCTGCCAGGTGTCTCCTGCCGCCACTTCTAACCGTCTTCAGGGTTACAGGAGCCTCCCAGCACAGGAATCCTGGATCCAAAGGATGCACCAAAGGATGCACTGGCTCCTGGCTGTTCTTCTCTGGCTGTGTTGGGATTCTTCTCTCTTACCTGTCTCTGGGGTTGCTCATTTCAAGCCCAGTGGAATGGCAAAACTGACTAATCCCTTTTGTGGGCCACAGTTACCCTATCACACAGTCCTGCTCAATCACCTGGCTGGGAGTTACAAGACCATGGTGGGAAAGGCCATACAAAAGCAATCCGTTACACCACATTGCCTGAATCTGAGAATTTTTGCCAAGATGATGGGTAAGGGAAACAGTCTTACTGGTTTTTTTTTAATTTGCTTTACCCTGATAGGAGCCTTGGTTGTGCAGTGGTTAAGAACATAGCTGCTAACCAAAAGGTCAGTAGTTTGAATCTCATGGGACAGTTCCACTCTGTCCTGTAGGGTCGCTGTGAGTCGGAATTGACTTGATGGCAATGGGTTTTTATTTACCCTGATAACTTGTGAGGTTGAGCTTCTTTTCATGTGTTTATTAGTCACTCAGGCTCCCTCTTCTATGAATTGCTTAATCATATTCTTTGCCTAATTTTCTTTTGAGTTGAATGGCTTATTAGTTTTTAGGCGTACTAATAAATTCTGAATATGAGTTCTTGTTAGTTATATGCATGGCAGATGTCTTTTTCCAGTCTATGGCTTATCTTTTATTTCATTATTATTATTTTTTAAGCTTTAACTTTATTTATTTATTAATTATGAGTGGGTAGTGTGTTCACTTGACTCAAAAATCCAGAAAATACAAAAGAGCATGTAATGAGAAGTTCCTCTCCCACTCCTTTTCCTCTTTTACCCAGTTCACCTCTCCAGAGGCATTGTGACTTGTTTTTTTGTTTATAAATTTTGTTGTGCAGAAGTTCTAAATTTTAATGTAGTTAAATGTAACAGTTTTTTTTGTTATGGGTTGTGCTTTTTGTATTTTAAGAAACAGTTCCTCTGCCTCATTAATTTATTCTTTTATACTGTTTTCTAAAAGTTTTAAAGTTTTGTTTTTCATCTTTACATCTTTATTCTATCTGGGATTTATTTTTTGAGTATGATGTGAAGAAGCGTTTACCCCTCTCTCCGTATTGTAAAACTACTTGTCCTTATGCTCTTGTGTGACTGTTTCATGTAGTACAACTCTTAGTGGAGATGGGAATCTGCCATTGAGCTTCATCTACACGTTGGCAAATGCAATTAATTGGTCCAGTTTTTAATTTCTGTTTTTGTTCCTACTTGTAGATGAGTGTTCAGAGTCCTACTAACTACTGTCTTTCAGGCCCCATAATGTGCCCTGTGTCCTCTAACATGACTGGAATTTGTGTAGGCTGTGCTGGGGCAGGGAGAGGAGGATTTCTTTGTAACAGCAAACAAGGAGAAAGCTTTTTTCTCTGTCTCTTCGATGTACCAATGCCTCATCAGAAGCTTTCAGCATTTATGTAAGAAATTAATTTTTTTCTTTAACTTGAGCAAACTTAGTTTTAAAATAAGATATTGTAGAGTAGGAAGTTGTTTTTGCTTAAATATATATTTTTTCTCTAGTCCTAATCAGAGATAAGTAATACTAAAACGAAGTCTTCAAATTCTTAAACATGTTTCTTTTTTTTTTTTTTTTTTTACTTCAGGTGAAGGCTTACAGAACAGATAGTTTCTCATGTAACAGTAACACACATGCTGTTAAACATGTTTCTTGATATTCTTAACTTTATATAGTGGCATTGTATACTGTTTGGAAAGGGATTAATGGGCTTCATCATATGGAGATAACTTTAAAAAATAACCCACTGTATCTGTCTTTCTTTTCCATCTCTCATCTTCCGTATTACTTTGTTTATTAACCTTTTCCCTATCTTAGACATTATCTTACTAAATGCTGTCCACTCAGGAAAAATGAGGAAGCGTTAAAAAAAAACTAACTGAAAGAGATTAAAGTGGAGCAAAACAAAAGAGGGAATGAACATGGGAAGGAAGAGGAGAAAAAAGCAGAGGAAAAGAAACAGATTGCTTAAGTGTTACTTGTGTGTTAGGACTCCCAAGGTATCTTTTCCTTGTACTCCTTGTAAATAGATAGGGGCAGCCTTGACCTCTTGACTTTTCCCATCTATGCCCCCCCTGGTTAGGAGAGAGCAGTTTGGGAGTGATGGCCAGATAGGAGGGATTCTGTTAAGAAACCAGGCTTTGTGCTTCTAGCTCGTTTCTCACCTGTGTGTTTATCCAGCTTACTGCAGAAGAGTCAACTGTGACGTAAGTTTTAGAATCTTAACTGAGTCTTGTTCTGCACGCTAGTAAAATAAAGGTGTGTAGGTTTTATGTGTATACATGCTTCTACTGCAGAAATATAAGGGGTACAGTTCATGCACATTTATATTTTAGAATTAATTTGTTCTGAAATAAGATCTGCTATTCAGAATTAATAGTGATGTGAATTCCATAAAATGATTTAGACTAGATAAATTATAAGACATTTCAGTGCTAACACATTTCATGATTTTCTGGCTCTATCTGTAGAGTAATAATTTCTCATTGGTGTTGGTTATAAGCAATAGTTTTATATTGACTCTTTTTCCTGACTGAAATAAGCTGACATTAAAAAAAAGTGGCTGTTGTCAATTCGATTCTAATTCTAATTGGTTTATATTATAATCATTGACATCTTTAAGTTTATACAGGAAAAATAACCTATCCTAGTATGTAGAAAGGCTGAAGAGACAAACATTTTAACTTCTTTTTCTTTAGTGACTGGCTTGAAAACACACATTCATAGTTTTAAAATTTTATGTGAGTTCTCATAGTACATTATCATTTTAGAGAAAAAAAAGGAATCTAGTAACTACTGACTGAAGATTGGGCTGTTGATTAAAATTATGTAATCATTTTTTTTACCTTGCTTTGTTTTCATTATGCCATTATTAAAACTTATCCTTGTTATCATTGGCAAAGTGTGTTACAAGTAGTTATACTTCCCAAAAACCAAACCCACTGCTGTCGAGTCGATTCTGATTCATAGCCACCCTACAGGGTTTCCAAGTCTGTAAATCTTTTTGGAAGCAGACTGCCACAACCTTTCTCCCTCAGAGCCGTTGGTGGTTTTGAACTGCTGACCTTTCCATTCGCAGTCGAGCGCTTTAACCACTACGCCACCAGGGCTCCTAGTTATATTTAGAGGTGTCATTTTTCCTGGAGTAGTGCTTTGGTACCTAATGTGTAGTGGAAGACTTTTAAGTTGTGATTGTTTTTATTGTGTAAATGTTTGTATGAGTTAGACGAACTTCAGCTTTGCCTGACTGAAATGTGATGACTTGTCCCTTCTGACTTGTGTTGTGGTCATCCGTTATATAATAAATGACTACTTATATAATAAGAATTAGAACAAGCCATTAGAGTTAATTGATAATGGATAAAAACAAGTGATGTGTCTGCTATAAGAGATGGAATAATAATAATACATGTAATACATAAAAAGTAAAAAGGGATATAGTAGGCATTGGGAAACAAAGAATAGGGAAGAAAATATTTCTGAGAATCAAAGGAACTTTGCCAGGAGTGTAGCCCAACATCATGTAGGAGTGGAAAACCAGCTAAGATCAAGGGCCAATGGAACATATCTGCTCAGTATCACTTAGTGATAGAAGAGTGAAATTAGAAGCAAAATACAAAATTTTTCCAAGTGCCCTAGAGAGGAGAACCTGTTTGAGCAAAGGTTAGACTTAGATGATGGGTCAGAGGTGTCCAGAATTGAAGGATTTTAAAATAAAACCTATTTCTGGACCTGAGCTAAGTGAATCAATATTTACTTTATGTATCTGTAAGAAGAAGTGAGGAGTCCTGTGGTACAGTGGTTAAAGCGCTTGGCTGCTAACTGAAAGTTCACCGGTTCAAATCCACCAGCTGCTCCATGGGAGAAAGATGTGGCAGTCTGCTTCTGTAAAAATATACAGCCTTGGAAAGCCTATGGGGCAGTTCTACTCTGTCCTGTAGGGTCGGTATGAGTTGAAATCAACTTGACGGCAGTGGGTTTTTGGTTTAAGAAGTAAAGGCTTTTTGGTTATGAGGAATAGAATCCAAGGGCAGTTAGCTCAGTTAAAGGGGGCTGATTATAAGGAAGCATCTGCTTTGTATGGACTCAGGAACCAAAGAACCCTATGGGCAGGGTAGACTATCTCCAAAATATCTATTACACTTCTAGCTGTAGTTTGAGACCTTATATAGTCTCATGCTTATGGTAAGGTGGTTTCTGTGGTGTTTTATACTGGCCTGCTTATAGTGCTATCAACAGTTGAGGCCAACCAAACCCGTTGCTGTTGAGTCAATTCTGACTCATAGCGACCCTATAGGACAGGTTATAACTGCCCCGAGGGTTTCCAAGGAGCACCTGGTGGATTTGAACTGCTGACCTTTTGGTCAGCAGCCGTAGCACTTAACCACTATGCCACCAGGGTTTCTGGCAGTTGAGGACTGCATGGGAAATACTGGCTGTATTCCCAGAAGGCCTTAATTTAATGATTACCCATTGCTGTGATAGGGGTCACAGCTGCAGGTCTGAAGTCTTATCAGATATGTGGCAATAATAATTCAGGGTTTGACTGTTTTTATAGGAAATGTGATCTGTGTGACTACCAGGTTGAAGATACTATTGGACCTGGCAGCCTGTTAGTGATCTGTGTCTTCCTAGGGTGTGTGCCTATAATTAAGAGGCCAATTCAGGTCATCATAGAGGTTATCTGGTGTTTTTTCATCAAACTAAACTCCTGAGTATCTTTTATTAAGGTGGCTATAACCTAAAAAGCAACAAACCCAAATGGGTTTCTTTTGTGCAGTCAGCAGATTAAGGATTAGGTTTTTCAAAAGGCCGGTATGCAGATTAACCCATAGAAAGCATGAATAATTGTATAGTTGAGAGGGCATGAAAAACACATACAAAAATAATCTCCCCAAAGATTCTTCCATGTTTCATTTCTTCAGAGATGCCGTCTGCAATTTTGTTATCTGCAATGACTCTTCCCTTCGAGGTCAGCCCGTTATCTTCAATCCTGACTTCTTTGTGGAGAAGCTCCGACATGAGAAACCTGAGGTGTTCACTGAGTTGGTGGTCAGCAATATCACAAGGCTTATTGATCTACCCGGAACTGAGTTGGCTCAGCTAATGGGGGAAGTGGACCTAAAGTTGCCAGGTGGGGCTGGCCCAGCATCAGGCTTCTTCCGATCTCTAATGTCTCTTAAACGAAAAGGTAGGAGACTGTCTGTGAAAGTGGGTGGGTCTCAGCTGCTCCCTGGGGTTCACTCTTAACACCTGCACATTCTTAATTGAGGGGGTCACTATTAATCATAAAGCATTTTGGGTCAATTTTCTCATTTTCATAAGAAGTAAAACCTTAAGTAATAGTAACACAAATTACAAAAACAGTCTAAATAAAGAAATAATTAAACTAAAGCAAGTATTTTCAGCCCCTAAGAGATGAAGTGATTCGGTGGTTATCAAGGGTGCCTTTATTTTCATGCCCCATTAATAGTATAATAAAATAATATTAAAAAAAGTTATACAGCTGCAGAGTACAGTAAATAAAGCTTGAACATTTTTTAATTAAAGTAGTTCTCAAATGTTTTCAATCCATGGCATGATTTGGTAAGGCAGATCCCTACAGATCACCCCCCTCCCCAAGAAAAAAAAAAAAGATAAAAAAAGCCTTCCCAGGAAAAAAATTGTAGGACTGCTTTTTTTTAAAAAAAAAATATTGTATTGTGTTTTAGGTGAAAGTTTACACAGCAAATTAGATTCCCATTCAGCAGTTCACACACAAATTGTTCTGTGACATTGGTTACAGCCCCCACAGTGTGTCAGCACTCTTACTATTTCCACCATGCCTGCCTCGTTTCCTTCCATCCAGTTTCCCTGTCCCTCCTTGCCATCTCATCTTTGCTTTTGGGTAAATGTTGACACTTTGGTCTCGTATAGTTGATTGTTTAAAGGAGCATATTCCTCACCAGTGTTATTGTTTATTTTATAGGCCAATCTATCATTTGGCTGAAGGGTGAGCCGCTTCAGTTCCAGGTTGAAAGGGTATTTTAGGGCCATAGTCTCAGGGGTTCGTCTAGTCTCTATCAGTCCAGTAAGTCTGATCTTTTTTATGAATTTGAGTTTTCTTCTAATTTTTCTCCCACTTTAATTGGGACCTTCCGTGTGTCCCTGGTCAGAACAGTTGGTAGTGGTATCCAGGCACCATCTAGTTCTTCTGTCTCAGGCTAAAAGAGCCTGTGGTTTGTGTGGGCCATTAGTCCTGTGGACTAATTTCTTCCTTGAGTCTTTGGTTTTGTTTACTCTCCTTTGCTCCAGATGGGAAGAGACCAGTAGTTGTATAGTACTGCTTTTGATACTATTTTATTTTATTAAATATAAAGAAATCATTAAAGTAGGAAAAAAAGTTTATTATAGCAGATCAGACCCTGTACCAACTCTAGTGGATAATCTGTGATGCTTTGACAATCATGGCTCTTAAATTCTCATTTTTTGTTTGTTTTTTAAATTAAATCTCAATATACTAGGCATTGTTAACTTAAATAAGAAGATGGTCTTTGCCTTCAAGGCAAAGTCTAATATTAAACTTGGAGAGAGTTGGTTGAGAGTTTTTCTGATTGCTTTTTCTGGTACACTTCCAGCTTTAAGGTTTTTGTTTACTGACCCTGTGCAAACATTTGCTGAAATGTAAAACAGGATGCTTGACTAGATTTCAGTGTGATGAATTTGTACTATTTGTGCAAAATATAGCCCTGTCCTATCATGTTTTTCTAGAAAAAGGAGTGGTATTTGGATCCCCACTGACAGAAGAAGGCATTGCCCAGATATACCAACTGATCGAATATCTACACAAAAGTAAGAGTATTTGAAATTTTGTTGTTCTTTGTTTAATGCAGTTGGTCTGTTTTCTATTGAGAGTAAACTGCCCTGAGTTAGGAAAGAAGGTGCCAGTTACCCATCGACAAAGAAACTAACCAGTAATAATTTCAGGTGGCATGCTTCTAAATATATTTTCTTTTAAATTTCATTTCATGTATGATTTGCTTTATACTCTCCAAGATGTATATAAATTAGAAAGTGCCTATGAAATCACATTTTCTCCTTAACTCAGAAAGATATTTCTCTTGGAAAAATACGTTATCCCTAAAGAATCATAACATTTACTCAAGGGAACATGATTTATCACCAAAGATACTTTTCTTCTCCAGAATTTTATGATTAAAATACATTTTTCATTTAATTCCAATTTCATGATTTAGAAGTCACGCTGGCTATGTCATTGCCCTGAGTGCTTGGCACAGCTGAGTATATGTGAATGTGTGGCCTTTTGTGGTACCAAAATACAACAAAATATGTTCTTGATAGATTTAACATAAATACGTATTTATGGCATATTCTATGTGGGACATTGTGCTACTAGAGCAGACGTTGCAAAACTGGCAGCCCAAGGGCTTGAGTCATCTGCGTTCATGTTTTGTTTGGTTTGTAAAGGGTTAAATTAAAAATAAAATTAGTTATCTGTGTTTTAAAATGGGGAGAGTGCAGGTGTTCAGCTTCTTTGGGTAACAGAAAGATCTACTAGCATCCTTGTACCCTGTTGCCACGCTAGAGCACAGGTATGGGCTCTCCAGTTTGCTGTGGTTCCCATTCACTCATTTGCTATTACCTGCCTGGCCCCCCAGGCATTTGAACTTGGACCCCTGAATTAGGGAGTTATACCAAGATGAATATGCACCTAAGCTGAAAACATGAGCTCTCTCTTCTCTTACAGATCAGACCAAAACTGTACCTCCCACCTTTTTTTTTTTTTTTAATTCCCCTTAGATTGGCTTAGAGCCTAGTTTGGGGGAAGAGTAGTTTAGTTGGGAGGACCCTAAGCCTCTGGGAATCTTAGACTAAAGATGATCTGACAGGTTAGAGTTCTAATTCCTGGAGCAATGCAGAGGCTCTAGATTCATTTTGGGTTAGGAAAGTAGTTTACAGGCGCAACAAACCTCCACAGATGAACTCAGCCTCTCTAAACAAAGTCTGGGACTAACAAGAGAAAGGGACATTTAGGGAAGTTTGGCTTTTCTTCCAACTTATTTTCAAGCTCATTCTAACCATTGATTAGGTTAAATTCAGTCTCCATCTATACCTGAAGAGGTTGGATGAACTCTGGGAGGATCATCTTTTAGTCTGGAGATCTCTAGGTGCTCAGGGATGGTCAGATATGTCTCCTCAGGGGGTTAGTTGGTTCTAAACAACTCTGGGAAAAAGGGCAAAAACCTCCCTCAAGGTTTTTGTAAAGGGTTTTTAAAGTGTCTTTTAGATTACTTATTTTAATAATAATAATTTATCTTTTTGCTTCTTTTTTGCCGTGCTAAGCAGACTTGCGAGTTGAGGGTTTATTTCGAGTACCAGGGAATAGTGTCCGGCAACAGATTTTAAGGGACGCTCTCAATAATGGAACTGATATTGACTTGGAATCAGGAGAGTTTCACTCAAATGATGTTGCCACCTTGTTGAAGATGTTCCTAGGAGAGTTACCAGAGCCCCTGCTGACGCATAAACATTTCCATGCACACCTCAAAATTGCTGGTGAGTATAGAAATTGAGAAGCATATGTAAATAATTTCTTTCAGTTTAGTAAAGTCCTTTGGAATTTTCTGTTGCTTGTAACCCACAGCAGTACTTCTACTAATATTGGTTAAGACTGCATGATATTTGGGGGCTTTTTTGGGTACTCATAAGTAATGGCCAGTTAAGTCTGACTTAGTCAAATGTTTTTCTTGCTAAATAAGCTTCTTTTTCTTCTTTTTAAAAAATATTATTGTGCTTTAGGTGAATGTTTACAGTGCAAATTAGTTTCTCATTCAAAAATTTATACTCTAATTGTTTTGTGACATTAATTGCCATCCCCTACGTTGTGTCAGCACTGTCCCCCTTTCACTTTACACCCCAGGTTCCCCATGTCCATTTGTCTAGTTTTCCTGTCCCTTCTTACCTTTTCATCTTTGTGTTTGGGCAGGTATTGCCCATTTGGTCTCCTATACTTGATTGAACTAAGAAGCACATTCCTCACATGTGTTATTGTTTTATAGGCCTGTCTAATCTTTGACTGAAAGGTGGACTTTGGGAATGGCTTCAGTTTTGGGTTAGCAGGGTTTCCAGGAGCCATAGTCTCAGAGGCTCCTCCGGTCTCTGTCGGACTGGTAAATCTGGTCTTTATTTCTGTGAATTTGAATTTTGTTCTACCTTTTTCTCCTGCTCTGCCTGGTACCCACTATTGTGATCCCTGCCAAATTGGTCGGTGGTGGTAGCTCGGCACCATCTAGTTCTTCTGGGGCCAGGCTGGTGGAGGCTGTGTTTCATGTGGTCCATTAGTCCTTTGTACTAATATTTTCCTTGTGTCTTTGGTTTTCTTCATTCTCCTTTGCTCTGGACAGGATGGGACCAATAGATATATCATAGATGGCTGCTTGCAAGCATTTAAGACCCCAGACACTACTCACCAAACTAGGATGCAAAACATTTTCTTTATGAACTATGGTATGTCGGTTGACCTAGATGTCCCCCGAGACCACGGTCCCCAGCCCTCAGCCCAGTTTGTCTGTCCCTCAAGGTGTTTGGATGTGTCTAGGAATCTTCCATGACTTTGCCTTTGTCAAATTGTGCTGACTTCCCCTATACTGTGTCTTGTCTTTCTCTTCACCAAAGTTAACATGTGTCTACTATCTTGTTAGTAATTTCCCCACCCTTGTAACCATCAAAGATAGTTTTTTTCTGTGTGTAAACATTTTCTTGGATTTTTATAATAGTGGTCTCATACAATATTTGTCCTTTTGTGATTGATTTATTTCATTTAGCATAATGCTTTCCAGATTCACCCATGTTGTGAGAAGTTTCACAGATTCATCATTGTACTTTTTCATGGTATTCCATTGTGTGTACGTACCATAATTTGTTTATCCATTCATCTGTTGATGGGCACTTAGGTTAAAATAACCTCTTTGAAGATGAGGTCTGTATTTTATTTATTTTTGTATCCGTGATGGAGCCTAACATAATGCCTTGAATATTGTAGTTGCTCAGTAAATGTATGCTGTTCATTGGATTGATGCACGTACGTGGGATGGTTACAAGTTTGTTATGTTAGCCTTGATTTGGGACTATTGCTAAGTATTACCATTCTTCAGTTGAGTTCATCTCTACTTTTGGGAATAAGGCGGTTTTTTTTTTCTTTTCTTTTTTTTTTCAGCAACATTTTTTACATGTACAGTTCAGTCACATTAGTTACGTTCATCATGTTGTGCAACCATTACCACTCTCTGTTTGCAAATTGGAAATTTGTTTTTTAAAAATAATTTTTGTTTTCTAAACAGACAACACATTCACAGGGTTCAAAATCAAAAGATTCAAAAGAATATACAGTGAAAAGCTTCCCTTCCAACCCTGTTTCCCAGCACTAAGTTCTCCTTCCCAGAGATAACCAATATTATTGGTTTCTAATGCACTTTTCCAGGGAATTTTATACACTTAGAAACAGATACTTACCTGTATTACTTTTCCCCTCTTTTTATGTAATGGTAGGGCATTTTTATACACATGGTTTTGTGGTTAGCTTTTTTCACTTAATGCATCTTGTAGATTGTTCCATTTTTCAGCTCAGATAGTTTCCTCATTCTCTTTTATGCCTGCATTTCAGAGGATTCATTCTTAAATTGCACAGCGGTTATGCTGCTGTAGGCTCTAAGTGCATACAGCATCAAAATCCATACTGCTTTTACTTAGTTTTCTGCTCTTAAGCATTTCCTTTCCTCTTCCTTCTAATTTTAGGGAAAAAATATACAGTTTTTTTCTTTTGAATACTTTCTATTGCCTTCAAACAAAACAACAAAAAACCAACTAGTTTTGAATGCTAAAATCTAGTAAAAGCAGACTTTTTTAGCCCTTGCAGTAGCAATCCAGATGATACAAATGAGTAGATATTACTAGAAAGTTATCTAATTTTGCTATTATTTTTGGGAAAAATTAAGTTGTTAGATCTTTGAAAAAAATTTGGAAAGTATTGATAAACTCTTTTTATAAATATTAAAATGAAGGATTCTTGCTCTATTTGCTTTCCTGTTGAGTTTGTTTAGTGCAGTGTTTGAAATCCTCCCCTTCCTCACGTTGTGATCCACTGTACTGTGAGATTGTATTGAGATGGGGCACAGTTGTGGCATTTGATGTGCCTTGCTGATATTTGAGAGGAATTTTTGTTTTCAATTTCATAGTAACAGGGAACATTTTCTAGAACTATCCCCTGACTTGCCTAAACCTCGAACTGTTAGCGAGATTAAGCAACTTAAACAGCACACTGTAATCATTTTCAGGTCTGTATAGAATTATACCCGAATGCTTATTAGTGTCCTTTGAAATTCTGATTATCCAGAGACTGTTTTTATTGATAACCTGTATAACCTGTTAGGAGAGAAGCAATGATTCTGGCTATAGGGGCTGCCTGGAACCATCCTGTTATCAGTGTATGATTCACTCTCATTTTTCTTTTAGCAGTAAAATATTTGGTTCGGAAAAAGTGTAGAGGGTGGCATTATTAAAGTAAAAAAGTTAATTAGTATTGTGTTCCTAAAGTAAGGCATCACCCTTATCTTAAATAACTTGTCATAAAATTAGATATGGATATTTAAATAATAGCCAGTTCAGGGAATCTAGTCCAAGTGTTATAAATAGATTGCTTTTTTTTTTTTTTTTTTAATTTTTTGTTTAATTGCACTTTAGATGAAGGTTTACAGAACAAATAGTTTCTCATTAAACAGTCAGTACACATATTGTTTTATGACATTGGTTAACAACCCCATGAC